CAGAGAGAGAGAAGAGGACAACAAACGAGGGGCTGTGACAAACTGTTTCGTCGGAGTTTCACCGACTCATCAGGAGGCTGAATATATATCGTCATAAACAGAACTGCCCGGTGAACCGTAGGCACAGAGAGACTACAAGACAACACACGAGTCATACATACAGATACATTTGTCACGAGTCGAAGATTTATATTTTATGTCTATTTGTATATAAATATTGTATAACATAATATTTTATTACATATAATATTTATGTACAAATATACATATAATATAAATCTTCAACTTTCGATAAGCCTCCTGATGAGTCGGTGAAACTCCGACGAAACAGTTTGTCACAGCCCCTCGTTTGTTGTCCTCTTCTCCCTCTCTGCCTACGGTTTACCGGGCAGTTCTATTTGACGATATATATATATATATGGTAACCGACGATCGGGACGGGGCAAACGCCCGAACCCGAACGCCCGAACGTACGGAACCCTTTGGGGATGCGTTCGGCCGTTTGGGCCGAACGCGGACCCAAAAAAAAAAACATGGGCGAGCACGTTTTGACACCGCCATCTATGGCGATTTGTAATTCTTATTTGGCTTAGCCAAATGACTTGACATTTTACATGCATGTACCTCACGTCACAGAGAACTCGCAAAAAAAAAAAAACTCAGAAAAAAATATTTTTTTTTAGTCCCCAAAACAATTTAAGGCGGGGGCCGAACAGCATCGGGTTCGGAACCCGTAAGGGACTACGAACGCCCGCACATACGGAGGTCTGTTTGGGGAACTCCGTACGTACGGACCGGTGACGCTTTATATATTATATATCGTCACAAACAGAACTGCTCGGTAAACCGTAGGCAGAGAGAGAGAAAAGGACAAGAAACGAGGGGTTGTGATATATATATATATGAAATTGGATAACCGGGAGGCTCTTTGCACAATACTCGAGCAACGGCTGCTGTGCGAGGAGGGCAAGCCACGTGTCGATTCCACTAACCATTCGACTTCGTTCCTTGTGTCAGGCCGCGACATTCATGGTTGCACTGAAGTCGAACTCGGTTTCTCTTTGCCACAAGCTGCGGCCTCCCTATCAGGAAGCACGACCCAGACGCCCGACTCAGTCAGTAAATCCCGGGACATCTCTGGGTCGTATGTTTCCGTGTCGTGTCGGGGTTCGGGTCATGACGAGGAGCATAACTCTGATGGCTGCAAAGGACGAAATTCTCAAAAGTCAAAGAAACAAAAACAGTTCGGTCGTTGTCCCGGGCCCTTGAACTTGGACTCGTGGATCTAGATGAAAGCCTAGTGCTCGGAAATAACAACCCCGACGATGTTGGAGTTGTAATGTCAAAGTTGAAGCCTTTAAACGGTGTGTGGAGGCTTGTCGTTTGTCGGTTATACTCTATCTGCAAGATCGAACCTTTTTATGGATATTTGATTCCAATGTCCCGCGCACCGACACTAACTTCCACCACATCTGTTGCAAATACTCACGACGCGACACTATAATGGAGCAGCCACAACCTCAAGCACCCATCAATGAAGATGATGGGGACATGGTGTACGGCCGTCGACCAAGACGTAGAGTTGTGCGCAGTCGAGGGGGCCCCGGGCTTGGGCCAGCAGTCGTTGCGGCACGTCGCCCACGACCTCCTCCCCCGCAAATGAGCGGGGATGAAATACGAGCAACATGGCCGCATCCCGCGTTTTTGGTTGAGACCGCAATACAGATTGTCGGTGAGGAGGACCGCAATGAGCAGTTTTTGCATATCCTCGTTGGAAACGATCAATTGGACGCGACGGCTAACAGATTCGCAGGGTAAAGGGAGTTCACGAACCCATGCGGTTACACTCGCCGTCAGAGACTGCCGGCGGAATTCGAGGAGGCGATGCGTATGAGGTGGCCTTACCCGCATAACGATAGTTACGTCGGCTTCATTCCTGATCCACGCGCTCCGGCCGATAATGATAACCCTCCCCGTGGGTAAATGCTAGAGAGAGAGAGAGAGAGAGAGAGAGAGAGAGAGAGAGAGAGAGAGAGAGAAAGAGAGAGGGAGAGAGAGAGGCGTTGCTCCATTTTGACTAAGGTTAGGACAACGGAGTTGATATGTGTTCAACAGCATGAATGCGAATCATGTTGTTAATCACATATCAGGTCCGATATCCTAACCTTAGTCAAAATGGAGCGTGTGTGCTGATGCCGGCCGCCTTCTCTGGAGTCAGAAACTTGAGAGTTGAGGAGGAGGAGAGAGAGAGAGAGAGAGAGAGAGAGAGAGAGAGAGAGAGAGA